CCCCCCCCCCAAAAAAAAACAACCCCAAAAAGAAACCAATACATCTATCTTATGTAGTGTGAGTTAGCGGTACACTATTGGTTCTACCTCTGGGGGATGATGAAGTAAATATCTTGTCTTTTATCGATATTTTTCTTTTTGTGTTTTGTCGTCCATCACTCTGCTGCCAATATGGCCGTGTCCTTTTCAATCGTTGACTTAGGTAGAACCCGAAAGTCGACGGGGAAGATTGAATACTGACGCTTTCTGATGACATTGACAAAGCTGTGTGTTTATTTTGCAGCTGACAGAGAGTGGCTGAGTAGGATGATCGAGTCTATGGAGGCAAAGTCCGTTGGAAGTCATCAGTACCCTGCCGGACAACAATACAGAGTTGATTCAAATCTCAGCCCATCCGGAGCTAGTATGTGATCATTGCCGACGTCGTCATCATCATCATTATCATCATCATCATCATCATCATCATCATCATCATCATCATCATCATCATCATCATCATCATCATCATCATCATCATCATCATGTTTTACAGTTGGAAAAATATACTTGAGACTCGGATAGAGTTGGTCATATTTAATCCGATGTTCTTATAGATGTTCAACGTTTTGTTCCTTGGATTTCATCAGGTGCATAGTATCTGAGGAAAAAAAAGAGAGCGGTAACGCCATAACCACAAAGCGCTCACTAAGTTACGTAATTTAATTGTGCGATATCGGAAAGAACCGAAGCTCAGAAAAAGACCATACTTATCACCCTTACAAGCTGTTTTCTTTAAGGTTGCAGAAGATGCTACAGGCTTTCACCCTCTCACGAACTTCAGTGTCTGGGATCTTATCCCTTTAGTCAATCCTTGGTAGTCTTCTCTGACAGGGAACACAATATGAAGCTCAGCCCGTTTGATAATAAAGAAACAGAAGGAATAGAGATACGCTAACGAATAAACCCATTTCCCCAGCATTTACGTCTCTTTTGAAATCTATTTAAATAAATATGCAACATACCTATCTATCTATCTATCTATCTATCTATCTATCTATCTATCTATCTATCTATCTATC